TATATATTTGGAAAGTTTTCTACATTATGTGGTCTTTTGATTTCATTAGTAAGTGTTTTGAAAGAAATTAATACATTAGTAGACAGCTTTAAAGTGCCTTACTGTCAGACTTTCTCACTTGCCACTGGAAATGCTGTGTTTTTCTTTACACTTGCTCCTATCTCTTCAAAAGCAAATCCAGATGTTCCTGTTGGGATTGTTTTGGGGTCTTGCTTGATGCATAAGTTCACACACTTAATCAAAATGGAAACAGTAAAACTAAAGAATTTGCTGTTTAGTCTTCTTCTTGTTATTTCTGGAGACTTTGAGTTTTTCTCAATATTCCCACGTCCATTCTAGTCTAACACCTGATCAAGAGTCATTTTGCAACAACAAGCCTGGGATTATTGAAATGTATATATATAAAACAGGGAATGCCTGTAGTCTTGGATTTCTATTTAGCATGTGCATGGTATGTGTGTTCAGATGGTAGTTTAAAGTGTGATTATTACTGTTTTGAGGTATACATTTTAAATATCTTCAATATGCACCTCCCCAAGTTTTGTGTTTGAATTAGTCATCAGTATCTTGAGCTGTAGTGATCTAGCCCACACACATCATTACGTGTTCCTTTAATAATTGTGTAGGAGACATTTGGGATTTTGGTTATTCTTTTTTAGTGAAAAGAAAAGTGTGGAGTCTCAGTCCCACTCCCCTCCTTGGTAAAGGAAAAAACCTGAATGCTTCTTGGTAAAAGGAAACAAAGATTTTTCTTATAGCTCATGGCTCAGTTCTTTTTTATATATGTTGTGTGGAACTACCTCTACACATGTCTATTCTTGGAGAGTGGTAATGGAGGAAAAGTGGCTAACGAAGAAACAAGAAGGATGGGGAAGTCTCAAAGACTCTGAATCATGGAAAAACGGTCTGGGAGATACAGAGCATGCTCCCCAAAGACATATGTTGTTAAACAAGAAGCATGCAATACTGTATTTTTCCAACATATGTTTGCTGCTGTAGAAGTCTGCTAACTGCAAAAGGCATTGTTAAAAATTAGAGAATGTAGTGCACTTTTTTGGTTTGGTAGTCAGCACCTGGATTATAGCACTGTTAAATTCGCATAGTAAATAGGGCACAAAGACTGGGCCTCTAATTCAGAGACTGTGGCTGAAATTCTGTTAAATAACTTATGCATAAAGAAAGCTAGTGGCATCATAATCAGGTGATTTTCAGTACCTAAAAACCTCTCATGTCTGCCCCATGGCTTTTCTGACTCTTGTGTAATCCTTTTCATTGTGGGAGCTGTGTGACTCGATATGAAGGGTCGTTTGATTGGGCTTCCCTTGTCTTCAATAAAACACCCTCAGACGGTCTATCAAATAACTTGTTGTCATTTATTACTTGCGGTCTATCAAATAACTTGTTGTTATTTATTACTTCAGCCAACGCGGTTTGTTTGTTTGTTTGTTTGTTTATTTATTTATTTATTTATTTATTTATTTATTTATTTATTTATCTATCTATCTATCTGTCTATCTGTCTGTCTGTCTGTCTGTCTATCTATCCATAACATGCTTGTTTAAACTAGTCTCTTGTTCAAGCAACAGCTCTCGCAAGGGCAACCTAAAGCTTTCTTCCAGAACGTTTCCCAAACTCTGGTCCCATGGACTGGCACAAACTTGTCCCTGACCCTCAGCTCCCAAACCGTGGTCGGTTGCACTTAGAAGCGGGAGGGTCTCTTCATCTCCCATCCATCCCCAGGACGGGTCCCCCTCTCTTGTCTGGTAACCGCAAGGTCCAGGAAGCATCCCATCTTCCTCAATTCTTCTAAATGCCATGCCCGGCGAGCCTCTCTTTCCCTAGCGATAACTTCTTTCTCTTCCCTGATTTTTCTCCTCCATTCACGAGTCTCGGACTCACCCCAATATGATGGTTTCTGGGGCAAGCCTTTCTTCCTCCGACTCTCCGCTTCAGCTTTAGGCACCCGGACTTGTTCACATTTTCCCATCCACGGGTCCTGCATCCAAATCCATTCCCAACCTCCTGGAATGTTGTCCCATTCTGCCTTGATCTCTCCCAGCCCCCCTTCTTCCACCACTTCATGAACCTCTTTCTTTCCCACCAATTCTTCCTTAAAAGGATTAGTTATTTTTAACCCTTTCCATCTCTCTTCCAGCTCTCTGGTGTCCACCGCCTTTGACACCCCTTGTAGATTTGCCTCCTCTAAATCATGGGTATCTGAACCTTGATCTCTTTTACAGCTTAACGTAGTCGGAGGACTAGTCTGGGTTTGTTTGGAGGTCTTAACGAGAGACGGCTCTACCAGAAAGACCTGGAACTTCCTGTCTTTCCCTTCACACTCAAGGAGGAATTTTATAGTAATTAAAGACTACTTACTTGCACAGCATCCACGTGGTGAAAGACATTTTATACGAGCTGGAAAAACTGGGGAAAAAGTTTTTAATTTTCAAAAATCACTTCTCACTCCATCATTAGGATTCTGTAGGTGTAGTTACGGAACAGGATTTCAGCCTATATATGTAAGTTTTGCAACTAACATTTACTAGTGCCTTTTTCTCTTTCCTGTCTCCTAACTATGGGAGTCTTTCAGTAACTAGGCCAATGTAGAGACTTCTTTTTCCACAATGGTTTAATGAATATGTTATTTGTCATGCACATGACCTTTTAATGTAATCAGGTCTTAATAGTATCTAGTTTACAAATTTAAAATAACATGTTCCAAAAAAATAATGGTTGGACAACTCCCACCTAATCCTAAATCAATGTTGTTGGCCCTGTATCATTTTATATGTTAATCTGTGACATATCCTGATGTCACTGTTAGGAAACGTGGTCTACATATTGCACTGTCCTCTTGTGAGTACAGGTAGCCAATTTCTGCAGCTGTTCTGTCAATGCATCTCATTAAAGTGTCCATCTCTGTTTTTACAGCTGTATTTCTGTTGTATTTTTTTTTAAAAAATCTGACAGCATTTTGGAACAGTTTGAATAGTTCTCCTCCTTAATATTGCTCATCCAGCCAAAGACATTCCTTTACTTGACCTGATGTAATTATTTTTTTCTTGCAGATTGAAACCTTTGCAAAATTGGCATGTGTAGCTATAGGGTGGAAGAGGGAGGAAATATTACGAGCTTTTGACTTAAATAGTCAAGATCCAAACTAGTGTCTCTTTAAAAACATATTCATGCATAAACATTTGCCAAAGGAGTACTTAGACCTGAAATTATCCTCCTAAATTCTCTTGAAACTATCCTCTAAATTCTGTATCATAGAAACATTAGATACTGATAAAGAAGAGTAACTACCAAAAAGTGTCTTTTGAAATGTTTTACAAAAAGCAGTGATGACCAAATGATGACTAGACAGACTCTGAAATCCACATTGTGGGAGTGTTGTTATATACCTGTCAGAAAGGGACATAGCTCTCCAGGCTTTTAAGATCACAACTCTCTGTCAGGTATGAATGTTGCAAAAGAAGGAGGCGGGAAAGGGGGAAATGATCGGCCACTATCATTCCATAAATCTAGCCTTTTCTGTTCAGTCACAGAAAAATGAATGTTCCTATTCTTTTGCATTTCTGCTCTCTTTGATATACTGTATGTCTTTAAGTCACCTCCAACCTGTGGCAACCCTATGACTGAGTGACCTTCCAAATGTACTAATATGCTGGCACATACTAACATGGCTATCTCTTAAAATTCCAAATGTCCTGTTGCCTACAACCCTACTCAGGTCCTGCAAACTCAAGGCCATGGCTTTCTTTATGGAATCAATGCACCTCATACTTGGTCGTTGTCTTTTCCTGCTGCCTTCAACTTTTTTCTTTTAAGCATTATTGTCTTTTCCAGTTAGTCTAGTTTTTCATAATATGACCAAAGTATGACAGCCTCAGTTTCATCTTTTTCTTTCTTTCTTTCTTTCTTTCTTTCTTTCTTTCTTTCTTTCTTTCTTTCTTTCTTTCTTTCTTTCTTTCTTTCTTTCTTTCTTTCTTTCTTTCTTTCTTTCTTTCTTTCTTTCTTTCTTTTTGCTCCTAAGAGAGTTCAGGTTTCTTTTGTGGTGGTTTACTGTATCTGCAAAGTTCTCCTGCAGCACCTTTTCCAAACAAATTAATTTTATTCCCTGTCAGCTTTTTGAACTAAAGCAATAGACCTGGTTACTTGAACCTTCTCCAAGAACCAGGCCTTGTTGCAGATTTCATTGCAGTTACAGTTGAAAGTACTTCCAGAAGTGAAGCATGTCCCAGTGTTTCTGGATGGCCCTTCTAATTCAAGGAGTATTACGAGAATAAACAGTCCAATTTCTTATTTGCCTAGTAAATAAACTAAAAGTCATGTTCAGTGTTTGTGTGATATGCTTTTGCTGTGTTCCTGTGTGCCTTTATTTCTAGCCAGAATATATATGCTTCAGTATAAGGAAAGGAAAGATACTGAGTGATTGGTATCCCATTGACTAGGGAGATTGAGGACAATGAAATCTACATGTGCAGTATGAAACCGGGTACCTCAAGCTTATTTTGAAAGACTGCAAACTCGATTTTAGAACTAATTTTTAGCAAAAGGCTAGTCTTAACATCTGGCCAACATGATTTGGAAAACTTTTTTGTTTCTGATCCCTAAACTCTGTAATGCCCTGCCTTATGAAGAGTCCTACATGACTTGAAAGCAAGCCTGTTTTGGAGAGTTAGTGATTTATTTAAAGTTATCAAGAACCAATAGGTGAAGTGGATTGTCATGGCCATGAAAACTCACTGGGGGTTGGCATTGCTGAACCACTCCTTGAATATCTCATACCTTAAAGCCCTGCTAAAGTTGCTGTCAGTTGTGACCGCACATAACAGCAATGAAGGTATCATGTTCCCTTGTTTTTGGATTTTGCTTACATTCAGACATTCTTTGACCTGATGTAAAATTTGTCCCAGGCTCCTAGTATAATACTAACCAAGCAAGACAGACCATATGTTTAGTCATGTTCCCATTTGCTTTTTCTTTCTTTCTTACAGGTAGCAGTGCATATTGTAAGATCTTCACAAATCCACACTGCTCAGCAAACAGCACAGTGAGGTTATGCGAGTCAAACATCTGCAATGAAGTGGCTCAGGAAATAAATGGAAAAGTGCCAGTCAAGCACTCCCCACGGCCATCTTCAAATCCAAAGCCACAAGGTCAGTTGCAGCTCAGTTCTTTGTGTGACACTAAACCTCAGGGACCACAACATCAGTTGCTTTAGTCAAATATGTTATATTCTGCAGCAGGAATAAATCTGTTCACTTAGATGAATGTGTCAAGATAAACATTCCTGATTATTAAATTATGTATGTCAAAAAGTGGTGGTGGGCATGTTTATTTTTGGGTTTTTGGGGGGGTTCTTTGATCTTTGGGTTCTCAGTGATGGCCTAGTATTTCAATGGATGTCAGTCTCCTGATGTCTTTTTGTTTTTATTTTTTAAAGATAGGGCATTTAGTTTTTCTAAGTAATCTAATGTCTCTGTGACATAATTGTACATAAGGAGGTCTCCTCCTTTTAACAACTGAGAAGAGAATGTAGTCCTTAAGATTCTGGAAAGCTGAGACATGAACAGAAAGTGTTTTGCAACTGTATACTCTTGTCTCTTCAACACAATACATAGATTATTTTGCAAGTAAAGGAAGAAGTGATGTTCTGCTTTTGTGGACAGATGTCCTTGTCTCCCTTCCCCCCCCCTTTGTTTTCCAGTTTGGTATATCATATTTAAGGGTGTTATTTTTTAAAGTAACATCAGAACTTATATGTTCTTTGAAGCAACAGCAGACACGTGTCAATGAATCTAAAGTGAAACCTTAAAGACATTGAGGTTCAATGGAGCAATCATTAAATTTTAGCAATTTTGCATTTAATGTGAACTTCTGTAGGTACAAGTTTCCCTGTCTTATCATGAAAGGAGAGCATATGTTTCTATTTCACTATTAGTATATAAGCAGAAGGATAGTAACCTATTAATTAACTGGTTTTTAAAAAATTGCTTCATTGTCTTAGTAGGGCCCCAAGGTTGTTTGAAAGCAAAATGTTACGCATATTCACATCAAATACTTGAATTTAGAAACAGAGCTATGAATGATGCAGACTAGATAGCAGAGTTAAACCCAGCATTAAAAACTATTACTGTGTTTCCCCAAAAATAAGCCCTACCCTGAAAATAAGCCCTAGTATGATTTTTCAAGATGATTGTAATATAAGCCCTATCCCGAAAATAAGCCCTAGTCAAGTGAAACCCTGCCCTCCACCAGGGACTCACCGGGATCCTCCCAAGCCCTCAAGAGAGGCTTAAAACCTCTTTCCTTCCTCTTCCCCACTTCCCTCGCTCGTGGAGGGCTGGGCAGCCAGGGAGAAAGGAGCTGTGTGTGGCCAGGAACTTGCTCCTTGGCTGCTAAGTTCCCAACGGCTCTTGGGGCTCATGTCTCTGCAGTGTGCATGCTTCCCCCCCTCCAGCATGCGCCCAGGCGAGGCTAGCAAAGCACAAGGTTGGAGGGGGGGAGGAGGGGGGGAGGTGATTTCAGAGCTCCAGCCATGTGAAGGCAAGAGGAGAAGAGGACGACAGAGGATGAGATGGACAATGTCATCGAAGCAACCAACATGCATCTGACCCAACTCCGGGAGGCAGTGAAAGATAGGAGGGCCTGGCGTGCTGTGTTCCATGGGGTCACGAAGAGTCGGACACGACTAAACGACGACGATATCGTTCTTGAAAAAAAAAATTCCCCCGAAAATAAGCCCTAATGCATTTTTAAATGCAAAAATTAACATAAGACCCTGTCTTATTTTTGGGGAAACATGGTAAAAATCAAGTGGAACCAAAGTATATTAATTGCTGGTCTGAAATTTAACAAAGATGTGGCAGGTTGAATTTCCCTCAGGAAATAATGCCACAGATATTGAGATATTACCACACAAGCCTTGTTCTATGCCCCTACCAGCCTAGCCTTTTCTGGCAATGGCCTATAGAAGAAGGAAGTGATCTATTAGATATTCTGGCACATGATTGTGGGTTTAAAATGAAAAATAATTTAGGAGTTAATCTTTGCTATGAAAAGATGGCTTCTGTGAGTTTAGGAACCATCCATAATACTCTGGGTTGCCTTCTTCCAACCATCTTTTGTTAGACATAGGTGAAATAGCATTTCCTCTCTACTACATTGGAATCAATTTGGTCATTCAATATCTCTTGAAGTCAAGATATAACAGGATTGCACTAGGCAATTTCCTCTGCAAGCAGATAAACATCAGGAAGGACTGGAAACATCTGGTGCCTCGAACCCAGGATCCAAGAGAAGGAGATCAACTCAGAGCAGTGACTCATGGACGACAGAATTGCAGTGGCTTCTTGAAGGCAAGGTATCATTGAATGGCTCATGCTCTGAGGTGGTGTCGTTCTGACATAAAGCACTCTCACAAGAGTGACTCATATAAAACGTGGAGTCAGCTTGTCTGGTTGACGAAGTCTTATTGAGAGTGTATAAGTAGAAAGCATGCCTCCTGCTTTATATTCAGGAGGAAGTATGCTACAGGTATCGGCTGTTTAGCTTTGTCATGTTGCTTGGGAACTGCTCTGAGTGTTTTCATTCAAAAGCATTGTCCTGAGCATGTGATCTGTAGAAAACTGTTCTTGTTATAGTAGCAATTACTGAGTGACTGATAGAAGGGAAAAATATAATTACTGTACTTACAAAATGGCTCATAGCGTGGAGAAAGTGATTGGAGACTTTCTCCTCTGTCCTATAACATCAGAATCCACAGTCATTAAATGAATTGATTCAGGACTGTATTCAGGGCAGAGAAATGGAAATGTTTTTCCAGACAGGCTTTGTTGTCCTGGATGATATGGTGATGGCTACTATATGATCTTAATTGCTTGTCTCATGTAGAATAGGTCTACTGAATTAGTGGAATTTACGTATGATGGCTTACTATTCTGCAGTTCATTTCAGTGGGTCTCCTCTGACGAGCTACAAATTATTTTTAGGCCTGTGAACTTAGACCTAATTAGACAGGTTATAATGGACAAACCAGGTAGAGGATTTTAGCTGTGAAAGCTAAATGGAACCTGAATTTTTGAAGACAGTGTGTCACTGGATAATAGGCATTGGAAGGCCAAGACAACTCTTGCATTAATGCTTTGTTTGTGAATTTTCTGAAAATATCTTTATAGCTGCAGCTTTTATTTTCAAAAATAGAGGATCACATTTTTCTGGCTCCCAGCATTCCTAGGAGGTTAGCACTACATGAAACCATTGGATGACCTGTTGGAGCCTCATTGAAGTGGCTGCACTTCTTTCCTTCCTCATCCTATGGGGGCGTAAAGATATACAGATACTGTAGTAAGACTTCAACATCATCTCAGCCTCCATGCCACCTCTTTCTTATTTGAGATCTTGAAAGCCTTCCCATATTTTTGAGCCATTTTGTTTGGCCAAATAAAGGTGTTATATTAATTAGTACTTTAGATTTTTATTCTTATGACCCATACAGTTACATTTCCTTTTTTTTTCTTTTTTTTTACTAAAATGCAGGGCTAGTCTGTGTTATTCTTGTTTAAACATCACAGTGGCAGCAGCATGCATCTTCAAAACATTATTTAGAATTAGTATTCTAGACTTCTCAGTTGTACATTTAAAAAGTGGAAATGGGATCATAGACCTGAATTATACTTTATAGCTGCATTGTAATAAATCATATCTCTTTCACTTACTGACTTTAAAAAGAGTGAAATTTTTTGCTTATTTTGTATGATTGCATGTTCAAACCTGCCTTTAATAATTAATTTTTTAAAAATTATTGTCATTGAATGTATATACAGTACACTGTATACACGTACAACAAAAATCACAAAAGAACACTTAGAGATCAGACCAAAACACACACACCCTCATAACAATCCTAAAACCCAGAACCCCGCCTAAGAGCACACAGTAACCACACATCATATAACACAACAGACCCAGTAATAGTAATAATAGAATGGAAAATGTATTTGCGAAGGCTTTCACGGCTGGGATCTAATGGTTGTTGTGGGTTTTTCTTTGGCCATGTTCTCAAGGTTGTTCTTCCTAACGTTTCGCCAGTCTCTGTGGCCGGCATCTTCAGAGGATAGCACTCTGTGCTCTGCATAAGACTGAGGTCTCTTCTGGGGAATGCTGGCATCCCGATAGGTTGATGATGATGCGCGAGGTGTCTAGTGTAGGTTTCTGTTGGCTTGTTTGGCATTCATTGAATTTCTGTTTTTGTCTCGCTGTGTGGTTCATCATTTCTTTTTCCATCTTTTTGTAACAGAGGGTATCAATCTTGTCCCAATCTTGACTTCTCATTTTTTGGCTGATAGTGATGTATAGGCCTATTAGTTCTTTGTCTGTGGAGTCCAGTTTTTTGCGGATTTTGTGGATTGTTTCCCATAGAAGGGCATGTTCCAGGCGGTCATAGATGCGGCTGGCCTGTGGGGAAATGGTGGTCCTTTTTGTCCTGAGTAAGGCTGGTATGGTTTTTGTGTCTCTGCAGCATAGTAGAAGTGTTAAGGAACATAGTAGGTGTGCTCTTTTGCTTCGGAGTGTTTCAGAGCCAGAGTGCTGTCCTCTGAAGATGTCGGCCACAGAGACTGGCAAAATGTTAGGAAGAACAACCTTCAGAACACGGCCAAAGAGCCCGAAAAACCCACAACCAGAATGGGAACTAGGTTTGTGCTGGTAATTAACAATGGAATCTGACCTGGTTTTGCAGAGCCCTATTTAGTGTTTGGGTTTTTCCCCCCCTGAAAAAACAACAACTTAAATCTTTGGAACCAATTGCACTGTTATCTACCAGCCCTGAGTCCTTTGTATGAAATACCAGGAAAGGAATGAAGAGTATCCCTCAGTCTCATTAATACTTGTTTACATAGTATCTACCATTTAAATCTACCAAAATAGGGATGTGGTGGCACTGCGGGTTAAACCACAGAAGCCTCTGTGCTGTAGGGTCAGAAGACCAGCAGTCGTAAGATTGAATCCACGCGATGGAGTGAGTTCCTGTCGCTTGTCCCAGCTCCTGCCAACCTAGCAGTTTGAAAGCATGTAAAAATGCGAGTAGATAAATAGGTACCACCACGGTGGGAAGGTAACGGCGCACTAGCCACATGACCATGGAAACTGTCTACAGACAAATGCTGGCTCTACAGCTTGGAGACGGGGATGAGCACTGCGCCCTAGAGACGGACACGACTGGGCTAAATGTCCTTTACCTTACCATTTAAAACAACAAATTTAATGAATGTATCCTGAAAAGAATTAGTTGTTGCTGCCTAGGGATAAAGTAATAGATAAGGCACTAGAAGTGAGGACCTTTAGATCTGGTTTCCTGGTCTTTAAACCAAACTCCAGTGTTCCTAAGATCTTAAGGTAATCTTATCCTAAAGGAGAACACATAAGTATGTTTCCTGTTATTTCCTCCCTCTACAGCCACCTATCCTGTCAAGAAAGCCTCTTTAGAGGGTTGTAAGCCCTCCAGGACAATTTGGGATGATTGGGGGAGGGTATGGTGTGTTGAAGAAGGAATTGCATCACCACCCACATGCAATCTTACACTGGTAAGGACAGCCTTAGCCTTCAGCAGATAACAAGGAAGGCTGTAGATAGGAGAGGTTAACACATTTTCTCTTCTTAAGCTAAGTGATTTTATAATTGAATCCTTTGTTTAATCTTGAAACAAAACACAAAGTGAATGTTTTTTGTACGTACTTGTATTGTTGAATCACACCTATAGGCAAATGAGTCCCAGTGAGAGCAGATAACTTCTTAACTTCTATTTATGGTTGTATTATAACCGTGTAACATGCCTTTCACCTCAGATGTTTTGGGAAAGTTGTACTGTACAGTATTTAGCTTGGTTGTTTTTCTTTACTTGACTTAATAAGTTATACAGTACTTAGCTTGGTTGTTTTTCTTTACTTGACTTAAATTGTCCCCTCTGACATAAGCACTGTGGCAACAATATTGCACAGTTCTTAGAAAATGGATTGGTTCTTTAAACATTATACATATTTAACATAGTATAGGTCAGTGGTTCTTAACCTTTTTGAAGCATAGTATAGGTATAGGTAACTCATTCCCTTCATGCATTTCTTCTGGGAAGCTGCTTGCTCATGATTAATTCCATCTAAACTGTTTTGTTCATGGTCATCTTCCACAGGGTAATTCAGTGTCCTCCTTATTCTCAGCTAGTTAGACTCAATTTTGCCATCCCGTCTAATACTTTCATCATGTCTGTTAGCTAGCAGTTCAATTTTGTGGCAATGATCTGATGTTCACTGGCCTAGATCTGCTTGTTAGTTCTAGAGGGAAACACAGGGTAGAAAATGGCTGGGTGTCCCTAACAGCAAGCAGGTAGATATGAAAGAAGTAAAAAACAAAACAAAACAAACAAACCGGGAAACAACACAGCTATAATAAGGTGTTATGACAGTTCTACGAGAAGTAAAGTGGCAGTGATAGCTGTCCTTTTCACAGTGTTTACTCTTTGTTATGTTTTCAAAAGACTTTGGTTAAGTCAGGGAGTAGGTAGAATAGATGACTCAGTTCAGAGTCTAATTAGAGGAGGACGAGATTGGTTTGGAACTTTTGAGATGTTGCAAAAAGTACTGTGATTTTGGTATCATAATAATCTTTTTAAAAAGTGTCTTGTGTATTTGCTTTCTAATCTGATTTATTTATGAAGTTTTACACACACACACACACACACACACACACACAAACAAATGCATGCATTTCATGAGCTAGGACATTACTTGTCCTCAAACAAAATTTACTTGCTTGTTTGAAATTCATTGTTCATTATTCTCTCTCTCTTTGACATTCACTTGGGTATCAGTTGTGTGGTCTGTTGATGTGGGTGCATCATAACTCAGTTTCTACATGGCATCAACCCATGTGTTCGGAGAGGGAGAGGCCAAAGTGTGAACTCTTCTTTTCCTTTCATGACTACCTTTCCCATTTTCATAAAATTTGCTTAATTACTATTTATTTAATTAGTAATTGTTCAATAATAATCTATTTCTTAATTATTTTTAATTTGGTGGGGCTCATCTTGGTTTGATATGTTCATCCTACAAGCAGTGATCTGAATGTGTTGAGAAGCTGTGCATGTGTGTGAGACGGGGGAGGGAGAAAGTTATTTGAGGTTATGGGACATCCTGTTCACTAGTCCTTCGGTTATTTTCTTTGGGGGCAGAGATACATCCTTTAAGTTTAAAATAACCATATTGTTTTCCTCCTTCTGTCCCCCATTCTATGGATGGCATTCTAAGATGCCATGTGACATTCCTAAAATTATGGAATATAGTTTAGTATGTGTTCCTTTTTCTTGCAGTGCCTCCAAAACCATTGCATCTGCAGAATTCACAGTCATCCATTGCCCAGCAAACCCCTAGACATAAATCTTTACATACTGCGAAGCCAAGAATGGAGGAAGTTACATCTACCTCTTCTTGTGTATCAAAAGAAAAAACTAGCAAAGTGTCTCATCTCATCAGTCATTTTGAAGGAGGCAGGTAAACATGTTTCATTTTCATTTAAGGGCTGTAGATTAAAAAGTGGCAATGAATGAAGAGTGGTGCATGTCACATCTGAAGATGTGCATGAAGTTCCATGAAAGTTTACATTGAAATATGACAGTCTTTAAACTGCCACAATGTTTTGGTCATTTTTTAAAATTTGTTTTTTTCTGATATGCTTGCACAGACAGACACAGCTACCTCTTCCAAAACTGTTTCCAAGGAGATTATATTGCTGTGATGCTAATGGGCTTCATTATTGTTGTATTGCTATGTTTTAGAATTAGAGTCATGTAGAACTCAGTATTTACCGTATTGTTTGCTCCATAAGACACACCTGACCTTAAGACACACATAATTTTTAGAGGAGGAAAACAGGGAAAATATATTCTGAACCAAATAGTGTAATAAAATATTTAATAAACTATAACAGAATAACATTTGAACCATGTAAAGTGAACAGCAGTCAACAGTGGCATTAAGAACCATTACCACTGTCATTAACAAATGGAGAGATTTTAAGCTTTGTATACTCTATGTACCATAAATTTGTGTACCATAAATTTAATTCAAGTACATATAGACCATTAT